CGGTGTTCGATCATATGTCTTCTTTACCAAGTCATAGGTCATTCGATCCACTTTTGAAATGAGTGTTCAGTGCTCCATCTGTTTTTTTTTCAAACACACGACTTGTCGGCTTGTGATAAACAAGGACGGTCACCGTTAACGGCCGCCAATTTATTACCTGCTTCCCCCTTCCAACTGGCAACGCTGTCTGAGAAGGCAGAGAGAATTGGCGTGCGCAGACGTGAAAATATGCATGACTCCGTGGAACGCAAGCTGGGAACTCCTGCATAAAAAGGCATTCTAGTTCTCACAGCTCTTGAGTAAGCTGATTAGTGATTTACAACAAAATTCCGATCTGGAACACGCGCCAGACAGGATCAAGAATTCAGTCTGTGCAGAACTAAATGCGCGTATGTCAAGAACGGGGTCAGATGAGTAGGATTAGTAAGAGCTAGCGAGGTAGCCATCACATACCGCTACACAACAAACAACTGCGAGTTCAAACTTTCCTTGGACCCGTGCACATACCCAATGAAGTAGGTAAGAATATTACTTGTAGAAAATTGATTCTTAAAGAGACCGATAACGGAAGGGTGTTACTATGCAAAGTCAATGAAATATCTGTGCTTCTAATGAAAAGCCTGGAGTTTGCTTATCATCACCTAAGGCGATGGATTTTAAGTTTCCTTATGCCGATGTTTAGGTCTGTGCTGAAAACCTAAAAAGATGCAAGCGATGGATAGAAATGTGTTCGAGGTGTGGAGAAGAGATACAGTGTGAACGTGGACGTTCATTTTTCTTTGGCGATGAGGTTCCATGTTTGGGTGATTCTACAAATATGACCCAAATGACTATTTGTATTAGTAAGTGCCTAAGAACGCACCACTCCTGCCTTTAATGCTTAGGAAATCCTGCCTGGGCAGTCAGCTTCCTGTTCTGTAATGATGGATTCCATACAAGCAGTAAGTTGGGCGGGTAAAATCGAGCCAAGTGTGATTAAATTCACGGCGCACAGTGAGCCTCGTAGCTCAATGGTAGAGCGTTGGCTGCGCAAAAGCTTCCCCTGCTGTGTGCGTTCCACTTCTACGGAGGCCGTGAAATTTTTCACAATTGGGTCAACTGAATTAAGCAAATCTGCCAAAACCCCTTAACAATAAACATATAGATCAGAATCTACCTTTGTGGAGCAATCGATTGAGACCACTGAAAATCTTGGAGTATTAATCGTTACTTCAAGGGCTATCTCAAACTCACCGTACTCCAACACCTGCAATACTTATAAAGAAATTCGACGTAAGAAAATGTCTCCTAATGTAGGCAAAATTTTATATTTACGATGACACCTGACAGTTAAATGGAAATGCAGTAGTCACTGACCCGTCTGTCAACAGGTGATCTTAAACAAACGTACTTCAATGATGTCGCTATTGGCGAACTCACGCGAAACCGTTTGATTTAATGAAACGCGTGTCATGCAGTGGAAGAAAAAGCAGAGAAAAATAAAGCCAATCCTCTTGAAATCGTGTTGGAATTTATGCCCAAACTGTAAGCTGTTTGCCAGGGGGTCATAGTGGACATCGCACTTATTTTTTAAGGACACTTAGGTGCAAACTTCACTAATACACTGGTTTCAAACGTTGTTCGATTTGTGCTGATTTATTTACTCGTTTTTTTTTGCAGGAACAGGCTTGTTGTACATTTAACACTTAAGTTCACCCACTTTCAAGGATTTTCCACTTTCCTAAACAATTCGGTATTTCTAACCAACATCACAGTAATTTTTGTAAACCACACTGTGCCTTCTTTCCTGTTGTAAGATGTTAGGAAACGCAGCATGGCCTGATCTTGCTTAACAGGGATATTCTTGTGAACTGCATGAGTTAGGAAAATATACCGGACCTGAGGCTTTTCTGAGGCTCCCGTTTTGCTCGAGGATAGATCATGCTCATTTTCCCAAGGCAAGAGCGATCGTTGGAAGGCAGGATCACAGAGGCCAGCCACGGAGCTATCCGACGC